CAGGTGAGGACACCGAGGCTCTCAGAGAAGAGTCGGATACTCCCAAGGCTGCACAGCTGGTGAGCCCTGGCTCCCTTCAGATGCTAAGCACAGAATGTTTCTACCCCACACCCAGCCACTCGTGGCAGAATATCACATCACCTGACATGAAAGGCAGAGTCACCATCCCGGATCGTGAGCAAGGAGTCTGAGGGGTCTTCCAACGGGGAGCACAACTTCACTGTTCTCACCTGCAAAACTGGGAAGTTCGGCCGGATGATCCTTTGCTAAAATCCAACTCTAACGTGCAGCATTAAGCAAACCTACTCCATGGAATGAGAGCTTAACCATTTTGCATTTAGTCATGACAACCGTGGGGAAGGCAGCATATGCCATCAGTGAAATCAGGCACTTCTAGATTCCTTGGCCTACGGAATTGCTACTGCTGAATGGATTCAAAAGTCCTATTTGGGAACACATAGGTCTCTGCGAGCTGCCCAGACATCACAGAAGGAGATGAGGCCTTCAACTCAGAGAGGCCCTCCCACTGACCTCGGCCATCTGACCCTTGGGTAAAATGTAGATGCTCTGCCCCCTTGCCACACAGAGCTGTTGCCACCCTCTGTATGTTAGATGAATCATACACGAACAGCTTGCGATACATTATAAGCACCTCAAGTACGTCTGTCTTTCTCCCAGAAAGAGCAGAGGTTGAATGTAAAGGAAAGTTGAGTTTGCACAGGGGCCTGACACTGCATCTGAGCCAGAAGAGGCCAAAGAACCTGAAGAAATAGGATACACCATTTCCAACTTTGAAACTGAGACCGCAAAGTAACTAGACCCAAAGATCTATGTAGTTCATCTTCAGCATTTTAAACCTAAACCTTCTTGCAGGTGTTGGCCAGCTACATGTACTCCAAGAACCTATACTCAAGGATTCAACATGTAGAGGAAGATGCCTTTTTACAGATATGAAATGCCTGCCACCCACCTGTAGAAAGGTGTGCATCTATTAACACAGGGATGACTGTGGCATCTACCTCTTTACCCCTAGCTGAGGAAGCATTATTTCCAGGATGCCCTCCCACCACTTCCTGAGCAACCTGCACCTGTTACTATGAACTGGCTACACTCATACCTCTCAACACTGGACGTCCCAGGGCTCAATCCTCAGTCCTTTATTCTTCTCTATCCACACTCAATTCTCCAGGTGATCTCACCATCTTAACTTCAAATAATATCTCTGCACTGAACTCTCAAATCTTTATTTCCAGCAGGGACATCTCCACTCAACCCCAGACTTCATACATCCAATTCCTACTTGACGACCCGCTTGGATGACTCATGAACATCTCAACTTAACATGCAAAACTAAACTCCGAATTCCCACAAACCTGTTTTTCCCATGGTCTTCTTTACCTCAATAAATGGAAACTCCAATTGTCTACTCAGTCAGGTAAAGAATTATGGTATCATCCTTCACGCTTCCCTTTCTGGCACATCCCAAATCCATCAGCAAATCTTATTGGCTCTATCTTCAAAACACATCTAGAATTCAACCACTTGTCATCACTACCATACTCCCACCCTGACTAGGCCACTGTCATCTTTGGCAATTATTACTGCAGTAGCCTTCTAACTGGTCTCCCTGCTTCCACCTTGCATCCCTACAGTCGATTATTAAACAATAACCAAAGTAATTTTAAAAACCACAAAACATACACATCACCCTGTTGCTGGAAACTCTCCAGTGACTTCCCGTCTCACTTGAAATAAAAGTCCAAGTGCTTGCAATGGCTTATGAAGTTCTACATGACTGGGCCTTGCCTTCTCTCTGAAGGCTTCTAGCCTTTTTACAAAGAAAAAACTAAATAGTAGCAACACGACAAAAGAAAATCTTCCCTTTTAATTCCCCCCCACACACATATTCTATTTTCATGTTGCAATCTTCAGCAAAACCAGAGCAAAATCTTGAACTTAGACTCATTTCTTTTTTTTTTTGTGAGGAAGATTAGCCCTGAGCTAACATCTGCCAATCCTCCTCTTTTTCCTGAGGAAGACTGGCCCTGGGCTAACATCCATGCCCATCTTCCTCCACTTTATATGGGACACCGCCACAGCATCGCTTGACAAGCGGGATCCGAACCGGTGAAGCCCGGGCCACCACAGCGGAGCGCGTGCACTTAACCGCTTGCGCCACCGGGCCGGCCCTTAGACTCATTTCTTTAGATAGTAAAGAGAGGTTAAGCTTATCTTCAAAGAAACTAAAGAAAAACGTATTTAATGGACAAATTTATACCTAAGACAACTAAAGAAAAATGGATTTAATGGACAAATTTATACCTAACACTTTAAAGAAAACATTAAACCTATTTAAACAGTTTTTCAAATTACTTAGAAGTCCTCATTTAGAATAATTGATATACTATTTACAAATCATAACTTATTTATTAACACAACCAAAGGACCTCAACTCAAACTTGATAGAACTGATAAATGTAACTGGTTATCAGCCAGCCTTTGTCACCTTCTCACAAACAAATAGACTGATGTCCCATCCCCACCCACAGCACCCTGCCATGTGCCTCAGCCCAACTTACCAGAAGGGCCCAGCATGCCCCTAAAGTGCTCCCCACTTGTATCAATGCTGATGATAGAACTGAGGACCCAGCAGCTGGCCCGGTGGCATAATGGTTAAGTCCGCGCACTCTGCTTCCGCCGCCCGGGGTTTGCGGATTCGGATCCCAGACAGGGACACGCGCACCACTCATCAAGCCATGCCGTGGCAGGCGTCCCACGTATAAAGTAGAGGAAGACGGGCACTGATGTTAGCCCAGGGCCAATCTTCCTCAGCAAAAAGAGGAGGATTGGCAACAGATGTTAGCTCAGGGCTAATCTTCCTCACCAAAAAAAAACCTGAGGATCCAACGCTCCCAGAGATGACCCTGGGTGTTCTTGTTGACCCCCCCAAACACAATTTTCTCTTTCCTTTTCCCTTCCCAACCTTCTCGGTAAAAATTTCTTGCAACGCAGAAACCCCAAATACCATATATTTGGAAGTCGTAAAGCCACATTTCTTTTAAAAATTAGCTAAGATTTGGATTTTCTATTAATTCATGTTCTCCTTCTCCATGACAATTGCCAAAAGTAGGTATTACTGAGATTTCACTGGAGTTCTTCCTAGCTGCCTCATGCCTGAAGCTTGACTCCCCTGATGAATTATTAGTGAGTTAGAGGGGTACCAGAAGGTTAGGCTGAGGTCTCCTCACACCACACTTTCAAACATACACATCGCCAGAAAAGTTTTAAGAAATCCTAGTTGTCATTCACCCAGTCTTTCCCTACAAACACTGGTGCAGCTGTCTTTTCTTTCCTAGACTGTAACCTCTTTCCTTCTGAGTCTTTTCCTTTTCTGCTATAAATTCAAATGCCTCTGCTCCTCTCCAAATTCGTTCCTCTCTGCTCTAATAAATTTCCTCTTATCTTTTTGTCTTACTGCCCTGCTCTGAATTTATACCTTTGTCTTAAGAATGCCAGTGCTTCTAAAAATATTCCATTATTCCTGGAGCAAGAGACTCAGGCAATTTCTTCCTGAAAGCAGGTTTCATTCCTAATTTTTAATATGAACAAACATTTCTTTAACTGTTTCATTCCGTAAATTGTGCCCTGGCTCCATGAGACAAAAAATGAGGTAGGATTCTGACCTTTCAGCCTTGTGTTTCCTTACAGAACAAGCTTACTTGAAAATATTACCTGATTCATTTACTCATTCATTCATTCACTCAACCAATAAATAAACAAAAGGCAGGTAAAAAGGTATATGTATTCTCTGTCCTTAAGGAACATACAATCCAGATAAGTACAGAGAGTCAAAAGCAGTATGAATGAAGGACCATATGGGCATACATTACATGGTAGGAATATTTATAATATAGAATTGTGCTTGCCCACTCCTGACAAAAAGTGATTATTAATAAAAGTCATAGTGCAATCAATAATGTGTACTTCAGTCTCTCTACAGTTCAAACTGATCAGTTCCCCTGACCTATATATTCCATATTAGTGGAATCCTTTATTTTATTTTAGTATGGTCAATAAAGCATAACTCACCCAGCTTTTTTAGACTTCATTGTTCTGAATTTGGAAATGAAAGCATGGTTCTGAGTCTCATTTTCTAAGCACTTGCTTTACAAAGAAAACAAGTTCTCCAAAGAGAGTTAAATTATTGAGATAACAGACTTCTTGTATTCAGTACAGGGTAAGTTCTAGTAGTCAGTTTCTCTACCAAGTCACTCAGTATTGCTCTGATTTCCACTTACTGCCTCAATTGTGTATGTTTCTCATTTTCCTAGATCAAAAGATGATGCTTATATATAAAGAACTTAAAAACGGGGGCTGGAAACACAGCAGGCATAAAAGACCTGCCTCTCATCGCAGCGTAAATGTTGGAGAGAAGGTTAAAACTGAAGTTGAGGAATTGTATATTTCAAAGTGCTTTGGTTCATTAAACAGTCATTTTTTATTTTAAAGCATTAGATCAGAGTTATTTGCTACTGCATAAACTCTGAGATCTATTGTATTAAAAAATGTTTTATTATGTTATTTTATTTCCTCCGCCAAAAGACGAATACCCCTTCAATTTTAAAAGGGAAAAGTTTTGGAAAACAAGTATTCAATATACAGAAATTCACTTCACCAAAAAGATCAGAACTTGAACTACATCTAAAATGCCCCGTATTTCTTACTGATCCTCCAGAAAATATATTTTTAGCTTCTGATGAGTCTCTCATCTTATTCTTGTCACTCCAGGAATCCAGAAAAGAGAAACAGGATATTAAAAATCTGGCAAAGCAAAATCATTCCATAACTAAATACTTTAAAAAATATTTATATAAGATTTACACAGCAATAAACTTTCCAACAGCTTCTAACTGGTAAGCTGTTAGAGAGGGCTAGAGATCCAGTGTTGGATGCTCATTCTCTCTCCATCCCAAATCTAGTCTGCGTAACCAGACACCTACCACTTGCTTTGGCTTCCACGTAAGAGGGGCCATCCTCAAAAGTGAAGATCTGGGACACGCTCTGGCCCAGGTAGGAGGGAGGCGGGTAGTAAGAATGCATCCTGTACTGGGAACTCACCGCGTGGCGGTTCTCCGAGTTTTTCATCTGCTTAAGAAAAAAGAAGGAATATATTGAGGTCAAAGTTGCATTTTACAATTATTATAAGAAGCCTAAAGGTACAAACTCTCAGTTATAAAATAAATAAGTCCTGGATCTGTAATGGACAGCATGGTGACTATAGTTAACAATACCGTGTTGCATATTTCAAACCTGCTGAGAGTAGATCTTAAAAGTTCTCATCACAGGGGTCAGCCTCGTGGCCTAGCGGTTAAGTTTGACACACTCCACTTAAGCGGCCTGGGTTTGGTTCCAGGGTGCAGCTCTACACCACTGGTCAGTGGCCATGCTGTGGCAGCGAACCACACACAAAATACAGGAAGACTGGCACAGATGTTAGCTCAGAGCGAATCTTCCTCAGCAAAAACAAAAAAGTTCTCATCAAAAAGCAAAAAAATTTGTAACTACGTATGGTGATGGATGTTAACTAGACTTATTGTGGTGATCATTTCACAATATATACAAATATCGAATCATTCTGTTACACACCTGAAACTAATATAATGTTATATGTCAATTATATCTCAATAAAAATAAATAAATTTATTTTTTAAAAAAAGAATTGCCTAATTCTTTAAATTAAGGGAACAGCCTATTAAAGTTGGAAGTATCCTCAACCACAAATATGCCCCTCCAGTGCACTGATCCTAGAAATATTAGAACAGTGCATTCTGAAGGTGCCTTTTCTATCTAGGGGTCCCCTCTAAAGAACCCCAAATTCCATCTGGTCATATGATGCTCAATTAATAAGTACTAAAGAGAACAGGGCCATAGAGAGGGAGGAGTTCTGCTTAGGAGCCAACACAACATGCTGTAACACTGACTAGTTTGTTTGAGCAGGAGCACGTTACTTAACTTCCTCACGTGTTTTCTCACGTGTAAAACTGCCATCTTACCTTGGTTATCCTACAGCGTTCATATAAAGAGAATATTCTAAAAAATAAATAACATGCAAAGGTGTAAGGTAAGCTGTTGTCATTAGCATGATGTTGTGCTGGATACCGTCACTTAGCGTCCATTCCCACCCCCCTTCTATGCTTTTCCCTATAGCTAGGAACAGAAGGCTTGGGTCTGTTTCCCAGACTCTGTTGTCACCAGGGCTCTGGAGGTGATTTGGATTTTGCTAATAGGACACAGAGTGAGACGTGGAAGGCAGAAGAGAGGCACGTGCTGTCCCTCAGCAGCAGTGGCAGCTAACGTGCAGCGCTCGTGCATTTCTCTGGCAATCACACCCTGCCTTTGGGACTGGGGGCAGCTCTTATATAAGGAGCAGCTCCCCATAACTTCTTGATCTCTCATTCAAAGCTAAGGAGATAGGACCTGAAGGCTTAGAAGGGGCCCCCACTTCTACTTTCTCGGCCCTCCCCGGCCACTTCCACAAACATCTAGAACTGTTCTGTTCTCTGCACAGACTCTGGTATAGACAGTGAGCATTAAACGCATGATCATATCTTCAGAGCAAGAAGAGCTAGACTTCTATTATTTATACTGCCTTTATAAAATTAGATTTAGATAAGTTTATTTTTATTTTTTTGGGAGGAAGATTAGCCCTGAGCTAATATCGGATGCCAATCCTCATCTTTTTGCTGAGGAAGACTGGCCCTGGGCTAACATCCGTGCCCATCTTCCTCTACTTTATACGGGACACTGCCACAGCATGGCTTGACAAGCAGTGTGTTGGTCGCGCCTGGGATCCCAACACGCGAACCCCAGGCCGCCGAAGCGGAGAGCGTGCACTTAACCGCTACGCCACCGGGCCGGCCCTGATAACTTTATTTTTAAAAAGTCAGTCTAAGAGAGCGTTTAGGATAAACAAATTCTGCTCAAGAATTGAGGAATAATTTCAAAATCATGTTTTCCAATCGAATCTTTAGAATGCTACTTCATAAAGAAAATAGTACTAACTCGACAGAGCCTTAACTTAACAGGTACTGGGATTATTTAAGATTTTTCTATGAATATCTAAATTTTCGACAATTTCCCAAGTAATACAGGCCTATGTGTACTTTGACTATCTGGCTCTGCTTGGTGGAAAGGCCTAAGTTCTTGATTTCTGTGTGCTAATTTGAAAAGCTCATTTTTGACCCTCCCAACTGTTCCCAGTGCAAATGTATGCTCTGATGGGTGGATTATTCTTGCAGAAGCAAAGAAGACTCCATTCTACCTGATTATTTCCTTTCAGGTGAAGTTTACCCGGCAGTTCCCTTTACCCTTTCTAGTTTGTTTTTCTGAAGTATACAAAACGGTATCTCTTCTAGCTTCATCATCCAATTTTCATTTTCTACCATCATATAAATCTTTACTAAATAAGAGGGCTATCAAGCTATACTGGAAATAGCCAAAGGGGAAAAACTGGCTGCCCTTAACGTGTGAGCCCAAGTCAGGAGAGTCATTAAGGGGCCATGAAATCATTTAAGGGGAAGTGATGATCAACAATCAGTTTACTGCACAGAACCCAGTTATCAGTTAGACCAGTGCTTCCCAGTCTCTGTGACTGTGTATACCAAAAGCCTAGGGATCCTGTCAAAAAGCAGATTCTGATCAGTAAGTCTACGGTGGGGCCTCAAGAGTCTGACACGATCCCAGGAGATGCTGATTCTGCTGGCTCAAAAACCTTGCTTTCGTCACAAGGGACTAGAATAAATGATCCTTTCACACATACTTTGTGCCTGTAGGGGCCCAAGACCAAAGGAAGGCCTTCTAAAAAACTCTTTTGACCAATCGTTTACAACCATCAATTTTCCATCTGAACTGAGGGATGGTGGAAATGATGTAAATAGCATTTTAAAATTTTTATTGTTTTTCTATTTATACATGAAATTCCCCAGAGCTAAGAAGATTTTTTGCAGGGGTCTGCCGCCACCTAGAATTGCTGCAGCAGTAATAACAAACACATTTTGCATTAAAGAGCCATTTCTGCCTCTATAGACTTCCCCCAAGTCAATTACACAGCCGAAGTAATGAACGCGTAAGTACATAATATAAATGACAGAGCCTCCTCCCTCTGGGTGCTGAGTTGGCCACATCTCCTTCCGGTTTGACAGTATCTTTGAGTCAGTTCTTCAAGGAAAATGCTTTTCAATTTTCCCCATGTACGAGAAAACTGACAGGATTTGAGCCTGCAGGCTCTGCAAAATGCTGGATTTTTCTCTCATACTATGAATTTTATATAAAGCCTCTTTTCAAAATATTTGAAAAATATTCACTGTGACTCTGGAGCAGGGGTCAGCAAACTTTTTTGTTGAATGGCCAAACAGTAAATATTTTAGGTTTTGCAAGCCACAGGGTCTCTAGAGAATTGGTAAATGAATGGACATGGCTGTGTTCCAATAAAACTTTATTTAGAAAAACGCACCCTGGGGCAGCGCAGTGGTTAAGTGTGCGTGCTCCGCTGCGGTGGTACGGGGTTCGCAGGTTCGTATCCTGGGCGCGCACTGACGCACTGCTTGTCAAGCCATGCTGTGGCGGCGTTCCATATAAAGTAGAGGAAGATGGGCATGGATGTTAGCCCAGGGCCAATCTTCCTCAGCAAAAATAGGAAGATTGGCATTGAACGTTAGCTCAGGGCTGATCTTCCTCACCAAAAAAAAAAAAAAGCCTCCTGGTTCTCAACCTTCACTCCCGCTGAAATAGGAGGAGGGGACCCAGCAGGGATCCCTGGGCCCTACCCCTAGAGCATCTGATGTCACTGGTCTGGGATGTGGCCTGGGCCCTCAGTTTTTTCAAAGCAACCTGGGTAGTTTTACCATGACACCAAGATTGAGAACCAGTGTTCTAGAATTACCTACACACTTCCCACACCCCGAGAAGTATGAAATCTCAACGTCTCCAGTATTAACTAGAAAATGCAAAAGGTTAAGTCTGACAAAGAGACAGGTCAACTGCTGTCAATCCCAATGTGTATATTATTTGAAAAGAGATTCAGATAAACTGTGGACTTCTTTTTTCCTTCTTTTAACTAAAGCTTACAGGAAAATAAACACAATTTCAAATCCATGCATGTGTTTATTTTTCCCTGAATTCTTTTTCTATGGTTTTAGAAAGCATCAAATAACAAAGATTATTTGGAAACAGGAATTGAGTTATTTGAACTGAGACATTCAATTTCCCCAATGAATCCCCAAGATCACCGAGCTAGAAAAGACTCCCAGCAAAAGAAGAAAGAGATACAAAGGGTCAGACTCCATTGGAGGTTATTAAAATGTGAACTTACTGAGGCCATCAATCACTTCAGCTACATCCAACTTGAAAAATAATCCACAAATAACCGTCCATGTGACCACTTGGACATAAGAAAGAAAGACAGTTCTAGGTATTTCTCAGTGCATGTGTAAACCTCTGAAAGATGAAGTTAACATCAAATTGTGATTCACCCAGAAAAGGGCGTGGCAGAATGCTATTTAAAACTCTAGATCACCTCTTGCTCCCTTCTAACAAAAAAAATCACAGTCCTGCTACTTTTGGCTTAGACAAAATGGGTAAATAAGGAAATCTTTGAAACTTGTTTTACTTTAAACCAGGAGTACTCAGCGGGGGCAATTTATCTCCAGGGAACATTTGGCAAAGTCTAGAGACACCTGTCACAACTGGGGCAAGGGGTGTGTTACTGGCATCTAGTGGGCAGAGCCAGAGATGCTGCTAACACCCTATAATGCACAAGACAGCTCCACAACAAAGGATTATCCAGCCCAACATTTCAATAGTGCCCAGCTTGAGAAAACTTGCTTTAAACTAACCTACTACCACCCCCTTGTGCTTAGCTGCTCACCTCCAGCTAAAACAGCAAAGTTCCACTGAGGGACAGAAGTCACACACAAATTAAAAGAACTGTTCAGTTCTGCTAAAAGGATATAATTTTTTTCCTTTATCCAATGCTGACTTGTTTCTTAAGATCTTATTTTTTACTCCATTAAATTAAACAAACCAAGTAAAACCTAAAAAACCAAGATTGCAGTGAATTATGTCTACTGTTACTATTAGCATGTGGT